TACGTGAGGATGGAGAGGAGGGTCGGCAAGTTCATGAGGAAATTCGTGCTGCCGGAGAACGCCAATACCGACGCAATTTCTGCTGTTTGCCAAGATGGGGTATTGACTGTCACCGTCCACAAATTGCCCCCTCCTGAGCCTAAGAAGCCCAAGGTTGTTGAGGTCAAGATTGTTTGAAGTTGGAAGGCCCAGCTTTACTGTTGAAAGATTTATCTTCTGTTTTGGATATGTAGTTATGTTCGGCTTCTAAGATCAGATTAGGAATTGTGCTGTACTACTGGAACATGACTTCATATGGATGATCATGTTTAGGTCTCTTGTTAACTTTCCTTGTTTTTCTGGGCTGAATTTTCAGCGGTGCAATAAAGTATTCTGTTGTTGCCAATAACCTGTGCTGCTGCTGTTGTCCTCTCGAATGGGAAGTCCTTGACAATTGAGACTATAATTCTTCTGGACAATTGATCTTAATTCGCTGTCTCAGAGAAAATCTGTGTTTTTGTCAAACCACTAATTCTATTCTAGTTTGTGGTTTTGTTAGTCGTCAAGAAACTGACCACCCTCAATTCTTTTACAGCATCCACTTGACTCCCCCGCAATTTTGACAAGGGGACTGACGGGGAGAGCAAGATCACTACACCAGTGTCCAAGAAACATCAAAGAAGTGGATAAGTAGTGATATCTGCGCAGTTAGTAATCCAGAAATACACACAAAATTTTTGAAGGCCGTCGTTGATCATAAATCTATGAGAAATCTATGCGTATTGTGACAAATTAATATCGACAGTTATGAGTGAATCGATTGCACAGGATGAATACAAACAACAGATTGTTTGATATTGTATTCAGGGCCGCTAAAATATGTCATACCAATCAACTGTCTTCATTAGAGCCACATTTTAGGCATTTGAACTGGTGGCCAGTTCATTCCGCGTCCATCAAGGAGGTGAACATGAAGATGCTAAACGAATTGAGTTAATCTAAGTTGGTGGGGGAGGATGGTAATTGAAAGCATGCATGGTATAATTATAATATCACTTCCAAATTTTGCTCTTGGAAGAAAATTAGTAGGCCTAGCTACTTAGCATATTACGCAACATGGAATTGCAACTGTATCTGGAGGCGTTATACTGGCTTCTCTTGAATCCGGACTGCCCAGTATTCATGAAAAAAGGTTACTCAATCATCCACAATTTCTTGGGATTTTAATTACTTACTTAATCTAGGGCAATTGCTCAAAGAAATTAAAGCCCGGAGGCTTGAAATCAGTGGTGCACAAGATGTCTTTCGTTCAAGCATGGCAACGATTGATTTACAAGAGTAAGTCTTAGTCGCAAGGGCCACAATATAGAAAACCACACAGTGGCTCTGTTTCTGCTGTCGATCTTCCTCCACTTAGCAATTGTCACACTAGCGGCTGCTCATTTCACATCAATCCATATGCTATACCCCAAAGGCTAAAGGCCGCAAAAAAATAAAACGAAGCACGGATTGGACGGAAATCATACTTCTCTATGGTGTTTGGGCTGTTAGTGGGATGCTGGTCATCGCAATTGTTCACAGGAGGCTCAAGAAGAAAACCTCGGGATTCAGGCTCAGCTGCTGATGCCCACAGCAATCCTTAGACAGATATAGATATTAGTAGTAGTAGTTGTTGTTGACTTGATACTGCTGCTGCTCATGTGTAGTGCTTAGTAGCTTTCCCAACAAATCTTCATTTTCAAAGAGTTGTTTGTTGAAGCCGAAAATTCTTCTCACAATATCTAATTGGACAAAAAGGTTCAAGCATTGGGTGCATGGTCGTATAACCACCAGAACTGGTTGAACCCATGCTTGATGGACCAATAATTGGCTATGTACTGGTCATGATAAATTATTCACTTATCACTGAATATGACATACACTCAAATGTCTTCAGATTTTAGATTTCAGTTTTCATACTTTAGTTTTATCAAAAGCATCTTTAGTCTAATCTAGAACTACCATTAATGCGCTCCTATATCCTTAAAAATATTAATATATAAGAAATAGATAATAAATTCTACCTCAACAATAAAATCATAACTAATAGTTACTAAAACGCAACGGATCTTCTGTCCCACACCCTGTGCCACTCTCTGTCCCACTTTTTATTATATTGCTATTTCTCATTCATAAATATCATGTTTTAATTCTTTTTTGCTTCCTTAAGATCCAATAACTATTAATTGAGTAATACACAAAATTTAACAAACTCAAAAAATCAAAATGCATAAAAAATGAGATTTTTTTATGAATTTTCTGCTGTATTTTTTAATTTTCTATTATATATTGCTTTTTTGAAATTCAGTAAAAAATAAATACAACAGTTTAAAAAAACCAATATATAATAGAAAATTAAAAAATGCAGCAGAAAATTCATAAAAAATCTCATTTTTTATGCATTTTGATTTTTTGAGTTTGTTAAATTTTTTGTATTACTAAATTAATAGTTATTGGATTTAAAGAAACAAAAAGGAACTAAAACATGATGTTTATGAAGGAGAAATGGCAATATAATAAAAAGTGGGACAGAGAATGGCACAGGGTGTGGGACAGAAGATCCGTTGCGAAGATCTTCTGTCCCACACCCTGTGACACTCTCTGTCTCACTTTTTATTATATTGCTATTTCTCCTTCACAAACATCATATTTTAATTCTTTTTTATTTTCTTATGATCCAATAACTATTAATTGAGTAAAAAATAAATACAACAACTTCAAAAAACTAATATATAATAGAAAATTAAAAAACACAGCAGAAAATTCATAAAAAATCTCATTTTTTTATGCATTTTGATTTTTTGAGTTTGTTAAATTTTGTGTATTACTCAATTAATAGTTATTGGATCATAAGCAAATAAAAAAGAATTAAAACATGATGTTTGTGAAGGAGAAATAGTAATATAATAAAAAGTGAGACAGAGAGTGGCATAGGATGTGGGACAGAAGATCCGTTTCACATCTTTGGAGTTTCTTGTTATTACAATCATTAATTTCATTCTTTATTTCTCTATCACCGCAGATCTCTTCATTTTCTTCTAGTTTGACAAATAATTTGCTCCCTCTGTTAATTTTGTAATTTCAATTTAATAATATCCATAAAACTAAAGATAATAAAAAAAGAACATAGCAGTATAATATCTTAGAAAGAGATTAACAAAAATAAACACAAGATAGAAAATTAGGATTTTTTTTTGGATATTATAAATTTATTGCCTTAAACTATGAATTGTTTACCGGTGAAGAGAATCAGAGGTACTTTACTATGTTAAGGTGTGACAAGTATAATTACATAAGCCTAAGGAGAACCGAGTGAAATTGTAAGAAAAATCAAGTGGTTTCCGGAATTATCCCAAATGAAAAATGATTCCGCCACGTTCTGGGACCTGGTAGAACTTCAAAGTTCAAACCCATTCAAAGCAGATCCTTCTAGAAGCCTTCCATTTCCATGGTTCCTTCTTCTTCTTTTCCCTTCTAGAAACTTCCGAATTCCAGTTTTCTACCATCCGCCACCTATATATATCTGCCAGAAATATCGCTTCTACCATCACGACTGAGCAAAAAAGGTCCCAGAGAAAACCACCCAATACACAATCATTGTCAATCCCTTTCGGAATCAAAATTCGGAAAAAGATATCCCCATCTCAAATCATCAAGCACGGAGAGAAAAATGGACGTCAGACTGCTGGGCTTAGACGCTCCACTGGTTAACGCCCTCCACCACCTAATTGACGCCGCGGATGATGGAGACAAGATTGCCAATGCACCCACAAGGACCTACGTCCGAGACGCCAAGGCCATGGCCGCCACCCCTGCCGACGTGAAGGAGTATCCCAATTCCTACGTGTTCGTTGTGGATATGCCCGGGTTGAAATCGGGGGACATCAAGGTTCAGGTGGAGGATGACAATGTGCTGGTTGTCAGCGGAGAGAGGAAGAGGGAAGAGGAGAAAGAAGGTGCCAGGTACGTGAGGATGGAGAGGAGGGTCAGCAAGTTCATGAGGAAATTCGTGCTGCCGGAGAACGCCAATACCGATGCAATTTCTGCTGTTTGCCAAGATGGGGTATTGACTGTCACCGTCCACAAATTGCCCCCTCCTGAGCCTAAGAAGCCCAAGGTTGTTGAGGTCAAGATTGCTTGAAGTTGGAAGGCCCAGCTTTACTGTTGAAAGATTTATAATTATGTCTGGCTTCTAAGATCAGATTTGGAATTGTGCTGTACTACTAGTATATGACTTCATATGGATCATCATGTTTAGGCCTCTTGTTAACGTTCCTTGTTTTTATGGGCTAAATTTTCAGTGGTGCAATAAAGTATTCTGTTGTTTTCAATAACCTGTGCTGCTGCTGTTGTCCTCTCGAATGAGAAGTCCTTGACAATTGGGACTATAATTCTTCTGGACAATTGATCTTAATTTGCTGTTTCAGAGAAAATCTGTGTTTTTGTCAAACCACTAATTCTATTCTAGTTTGTGGTTTTTGTTAGTAGCCAAGAAACTGACTACCCCCAATGCTTTTTTATCATCCACCTGACTCCCCTGCAATTTTGTTAAGGGGACTGGTGGGGAGAGCAATATCACTGCACCAAACATCAAAGAAGTCGATAAGTAGCGATATCTGCGCATTTAGTGATCCAGAAATATATACAAATTTTTTGAAGGCCATCGCTGATAATAAATCTATGAGAAATCTATGCGTATTGTGACAAATTAACATCAACAGTTATGAGTGAATGGATTGCATTTTGTAATTTCTAATTTCATGAAGATGAATATAAAGAACAGATTGTTTGATATCATATCCAGGGACGTGAAAATATGTCATTCCCATCAACTGTCTTCGTTTGTGCCACATTTTAGGCACTACACCATGAATTCAAAGGCATATATTTCGCATGAACTAGTATTTGACCTGGTGGCCAGTTCATTCCACGTCCACTAAGATGGTGAATTTGAAGATGCTTAAACAAATTGACATCCGCCATTAATCACAAGTCAGACTGAAACCAGCCATATCTTCCGAACATTCTTGGTTGCAAAACTGGCTTTGCTGTATTATAGAAGGTGGTTCGAGAATATGACCATGCCACTCCTCGGCCTGTTTAGGGCAGAGCCTTGTCATCCTCATAGACCCAACATTAGCCTTGTTGCAGATCAAACCAATGCCAATCATTACCATTACCATTTCCAATGCCAATCTTGTCAAATAATCAGCCAGAACAGCGGCTGCAGCGATGGCGGTTTCTTCCGTGGTCTGCATACGTTAATTTAAAAAGAAGAAAAGATGGAGGAAGGTAATTGAAAGCATGCATGGTATAATTACAATACCACTTCCAAATTTTGCTCCTCTTGGAGGAAAATTAATAGGCCTAGCTGCTTAGCATATTGCGCAACTTGGAATTGCAACTGTATCTGGACTCTGGAGGCGTTATACACTTATACTAGCCTTTCTTGAATCTGGACTGCCCAGTATTCATGAAAAGGTTACGGCTCAATCATCCAAAATTACGTACGATTTTAATTACTTTCTAAGGTAATTGCTCAAGGAAATTAAACCCCGGAGGCTTGAAATCAGTGGTGCACAAAGATGTTATTCGTTCAAGCATGGCAACGATTGATTTACAAGAGTAAGTCTTAGTCGCAAAGGCCACAATATAGAAAACCACAAAGTGGAACAAACCAAAAAAATAAAATTATTTATCCTGAACCTGTAACATTTTTCCTTCCCGTGAACGGTTCAAATTTATTCACTTCTTCCTTCTTGACGTCATATTTGTTTGGGGTTTCCTCATTGATCGTGTTCGAACCAAACACCATCTTCTTTCCTGGTCCTTCACAGTCACAGGTTTTCGTTGAATTCTTTTTACTGATCACATTCTTCTCCAGTTTTTCTGCTACCATATCGGACATATGTGCCAGCGGCGCCCCATCTACTCGCCTTGCTAAGCCTGAAAACGCTACAAACTTAGGCTTCTCCTCTTCAGCCTTCTGCGAGGCTTTCTTCTCAGGTTCCTTGTAATCCAAAGGAGCCGCAAAATCTACCTCACAATCCGTGTCAATGATACTAATTGCAGGGCTTGGTTCGGCCTCAAGTACGTCAATCTGAAACTTCTTCTTATCGTGAGAGATTGTGATCGTGTCTCCGGTTGTCAAACAAGCATATCTTTGGAGGGTTTTCTCCAAAACAGCTTTAGGATTGGAAAGATTGATGAAATCAGTTGTATGCGGCTGCAACTTCACGAAAGTACCCTTAGGAAGATAGACGCTCTTGAGGAGTACGAGGTCTCCTTCGAGGATCTTCAAGCTGTCCATCATCCACTGTGGAGCGAAGATTGAGCCCTCTTCGGCTGTGAACTCCAAGACTCCACAATGAGAAGTGCGGCCACCAGAATCGTCATAAATATTTTGTATAGAAAACATCATGGGGTAATGAATCCTGAGAGCAGAAAGGCAATCTAAAGCCGAAGCAGGCATCGGAATTTTGTTTCCCTCGTCGAGTTTATGTTTCTGGATTGTAGCGAAAGAATGGCAAAAGTAGTGCTGCACAAATTGATTGTATTCTCCCAAATTTGTTAGAGGAGTTGTTAGGGAGTCCATTGTCAAGCACAAGACAGCATACACGCAAGAAATCATGAACATTAACCTGCATGTACATATATATAGTGTTTACCTCTGGAAATTCGATTCCCAAACTAAGAAGGAAAAGAGAATTTGTTTCCTATACAAAGTAGGTTATTAGTAAAATTACTTCGCTTAAAAAATGAAGTTTTAGAAGTTTATCATTAAGATTTAATTAGTAGATTCATAATTTATCGATTAGGCATTGTATGTGGGGGTTTGTTGTTTAGTCGTTTCTTGATTATCAAGTCCTAGGAAGTTTCAAGTAGGTATTTATTAACGTACAATTTAGATAGGCCAAAGAGCAGAGTCAAGTTCTAAAGATTTTGCATTTATATTTTTGAAATATGAAATTATGAATTGCATTGCCAATTTATTCTCTATTTAGTTTATGATTATTGATTGTTAAAAATTTTATGTTAAATTTGTCTCAAAGTTTAATATAGAACTGAAAGCAAAAAAAAAAAAAGTGGATTAAGCGGTGAAGTCACTCTTAAATTTTGGTATTTATTTTGTGTAGAATGTTAGAACCTTTGAACCAGAAGTAGTCAGAATTCCTTCATTTGATCCACAATTAAAAAACCAAAAATTAAAAAAGAAAATTTTAAAATTTCTTCAGCAATATCTTCAACATATAGTCATTAGATGACTGAAAAATATTGAAGAATTTTGGTCGCCAAAATAGTGAAAATTCGTCTCCTATATTTGTACAAACTTTTGCAATATGTACAATTTTTCTTTCTTTTTTTGGTTTATCCTTGTAACAGTACATGTTGTACAAATTTCTAGCGCATAATATTCACAAATTTTTCCTCCAATATTATGTCCTCGTACTGTTTCGTTTGGATTGAAGAATCTAATGAAACATTTGAAATCCACCCAAATTGTTCCAATTGCTTGAATTATTTAAGAGACATTTGGGCATATAATTCACCAATTATCTAAATATATGTATAAAATTAAAATAAATTAATACTTTATAAATTTAAATACCTCTTAAATAATTTAAATAATTAGAGAAATTTGACAGTATTTTAACAAAATGCGGCCCAAATGGATTCCAAATAAGACAACAAGAGGAGAAAAATTCAAAGAGAAAGGGTACAAAAGAGAAAAGTCAACCAGAGTTTTTCTTCTAGTGGTTTCCGCCGCGTTCTGGATCAGTGTAGAAGTCGAACTCAGAAACTAGTAGAAAGAACCAGCGAATAAAAGAACTTACCAGAAACTTTCCGCGCCTTCCTTCTTTTCCCTCCCCCCTCCACAAAACTTCCAAACTGAAGTTCTTCTCCCACCTCGATATATACTCACTTCCTCTCCATTCCCTTCTCATCGAGATTACAGCAATTTTCAGATCATAGAAAAAGTGAAAAGAGGCAAATATCTCATCGAAAATATCCCAAATCAAGAAGAGAAAAATGGACGTGAGGCTAATGGGATGGGATACCCCACTCTTCCAAACCATCCAGCACATGATGGACGCCGCGGACGATGCAGACAAGACCGTCAACGCTCCGTCGAGGACCTTCGTTCGAGATGCTAAGGCAATGGCTTCCACTCCGGCTGACGTCAAGGAATATCCCAATTCCTACGCGTTCATTGTGGATATGCCGGGGTTGAAGTCGGGGGACATCAAGGTTCAGGTGGAGGAAGACATCTCACTTAAAAGTCACTTTTAATCCCCAAATTAATTCTTACTCTGTACCGAAAATTCATCCGGCGAAAAATCGCGAAAACCCTAATTTCGCTCCAAACTTGAAACCGAAGCGTAAAACCCTATTTTCTAGATTTATCTACACTTAATGTGAAATATTTGGGTAGTGGGCTTTGATAAATAATAATTTTCAAATAAAAGGGTATTTTTGAGAAAAATACAAGAAATATGCGAGTCCTCACATTCTCTCCCCCTTAAAAAAATTTCGTCCTCGAAATTTTACCTTCAGTTGCCTCAGACGAGTCCGGAACTTGTCGGTTGTCTAAAGCATAAACCTTTGCCGGTCCGCTAGTTCGTTTCCCTCCTTCATTCACTTGTGACTTAGCTCCATCCAGTTGCAGAGTATTGCTTTCACGTGACTGTCTCCTCGGACAGTTGCTAACTTGATGATCGCCACTTCCGCAGATTAAACATTTCCGCCCCTTTCTCCAACAATCGCTTTCGACATGATTTGCCTTTCCACAGTACCCACAGACCACGTGAGAAACCATCTTTTTGCTTTCTTGAAAACTTTTCCCAAATCTGATTTGGCTTTCTTTTGTAGATCCTTCACCTATCGCCCCTAATGTCCATGGTGGGTGGGACAAAAAGTTCACTTTTTGCACTTTGGAAGGGACTCTCGCTTCACTTAATTCCTCCACTACACTACTCGATGCACTCCTTTTCTGGGTCTGGGGAGCTTTTATCTGTGCCTTTGCAGTCTCGATTCTTTGAGCTTTCTCAAGGGCCTCCGTAAACGTATTCACTTGTACTGCCGCTAATGCTTCTTGGAGTTCCAAATTTAATCCTTGTATAAACCGTCTTACTCTTCGCCGTTCTGTGGCCACCAATTCAGAAGCAAACTTGGATAGTTTCGTAAATTTCGTTTCATATTCGGCCACACTTAACGTTCCCTGGCGTAGTCCAATAAACTCTTCCTCTCTCCTCTCTTGAACTAAAGGACAGATCTTACCCAGACCCATATTTATTTAATTAAATAATATATATTAGTAAATTTATAAAATAATATAATATTTTATGGCTATTGGATCGAATACAGTAAGATTTTATGGCATTAGAATCTGCATTTAGTATTGGTGGTTGGGTGATTGATGAGACTCATGCTAAATTGCTTCTAGATATGGTTGAAACATTAGTGATTACTGATGATTGGATTGAATAAAAAAAAATGAGTAAGTGTTTATAAATATTTTTATTCTATTATTTATTTGTCATCGGTTCTTAGTCAAATGACTTTTATCGCATTCATTATTTTAGTACTGGATTGCGAGACATCTACCAACACTGAAGTTTAAATAAGAAAAAAAGGTACAAAATTACATTTTTTTAATAATACTAAATATTTATATATGTTATGGTTGTTTTTTTTTTTTTTTTTGTAAAAACTAGTCCTAGTTGTCATTATAATTGATACAAACTTTTTCAAGAAAAGGAGAAAAGGTAAAGGTAAACAAATGAAATATTGGATGTGAATGCAGTTGAACCTTTGAAATATATATAGAAGTAGTCAATAACAATTCTTTCTTTGAATTCACAATATTGCATTCAACTTGTTGAATGTTAATTTTATTATTTGAAAACAAAAATTAGATGGTATTTATATTATTTATGAACTTTATATATTTTAAATACATTTTTATTTTAGTATGCTCAGAAAATACCTATGGATGCCCATTTGATACCCAAATCCATAAGGGTTTGGATATGGACTTATTTTTTCAGACTCAAAAGGGCCTGGATCTGGATCTGAGTCTAACTAAATTAAATGGATCTGGATCTTGATCAAAGAGATCCAACCCAGACCTTACCCATTGACATGCCACCCAACAACTAACAAGTCTATTATTATCAACCATTAATGGTTTCATATTGATATTGATGTACCATCACAAGATAAAAGAGCACCCAAAACCAATTTAGCATGAATACAAGTAGGGATGGCAATGGGAGCGGGTGCCCGCGCGGGGGGCTCACGAGGCGGGAGTGCGGGGGGAATTTTTTCCCCCCGCTTAGAAACGGGGCGGGGGGCGGGGGAGTATACCCCCGCCCCGCCACCCGCAAAACAAAAAAAAATGTATATATATAAATATATATAAAAATGACTATATATTATATGTAAGTTAATTAGTTATAAACTTATGATAATGATATTATTAGTTAGATGTATTATATAATGTATATTAGTTTATGTAATATAATTAATATTATCAATTATATGAATAATTATACATGTCTACTAATAGAATTTATTAATTAGTTATACTAAATTTACTAATACATTTATACTAAATTTCTAATTACACTTAATAGAATAACACTTTTTTCTCAAAAAAAAGCACAAACACAATGATGAATTAGTGATTGCATTTGTACTAAAAGTGAAAATTTGACTATTTTAATTATATTTATTTCATCATATTGGATTGTATTCAAATAACTTCTGTTTGATTGTTTTTATGAGTTTCAATTGTAAAATTACAATGAATAATAATTTGGTGATGTGTTGATATTTTAGTACTTGATTATTTATTAAAATTTAATTATAATAAAATTATATAATAAAATTTTCTTAATCCCGCGGGGAAGCGGGGGAAGGCGGGGCGGGGGACGGGGGGAACTAATAGGCAACGGGGCGGGGGACGGGGGAGGGGTCCCCCCCCCCGACCCCGCCCCGTTGCCATCCCTAAATACAAGGTCTTTGGCTGTAATATCATCTAATACTTCCCTTTAATCACAAGCAACAACACAACTACGACAGACTTAGAGACAGCTAAAACCAACTTATGTCATAAAGACAAAATAATTACTGTGTAATTTCAGGTTCATATTTTATGACACCAAGAGTAACCATGGAACGAAGACTTCAAGAAGACAAAAGCAAAGAACTTGGATTTATAAATGGCTGCTAACGCATAACACGGTTCCCAAGTATATAGCTGCGGCAGCCAATTGATTGCTAGGCCAAGGAGGTGGAGGAGGAGGAGGAGATCATCTTCTTACAGGTCTTGGGCTGAAGTTCTTCTTCATTTTCTATTTTCCTACTTCCTTGAAAGGTTGGATCATATAGCAATTCATTGTCCTGGTAAGTCAAACTTACTGCTTGCTTTGTTGGTTAGTAGTATTTTTACTGGAATTTCTAGTTTTGAGTGGGGCAGTTTCTTGATTTATGCGTGGTAGG